ATTGAATTTTATTTTATAATTAAATTAATGTAAAACATATGTAGTATCGTGACATGACGTGACGTGTTGTAGCGTAATTTGAAGTGACGTGTCAGAACATGATTTGACGTGACGAGAAGTATCATAGCGTGACTTGGAGTGTTGTGTAACTGTACGATAGTTAATCTAAATTATATCTAAACTGAATCAAGCGTAACTAATCATATATTTAAAAATCTATTAGGTTATTTAAACAAATTTGTGTTATGTGTTATAATTGGTTGTAATAATGGAGAAAAAGTGATGTATAGAAATGTTGAAGAGACTCTGGTACAGATATGACCGACGGGACGCCTCGGTCTAATCACACCACGACCGACGGTACTTGTATATTATGCGGTCTAATCGCATTAGGGGAGAGAATTAGGGGGAGGTTGCGACAACGTCGACCCGCATTAAACATGTCCCTCTCCTACCCTCTCTCGGCCATAGCCGCAGCTCAATGCGAAAGCCGATGAACGCAAAGGAAGTATGAATAAAATGAAGCAACGCCACAAAATTATATATGTAAGGGGGTCGGTGGAAGAACGAAGGGCAAGAAGAATTTTGCAAAGAGAAGAAAAAAAAAATAACGAACGACGGTTTAACCTAACGCAGATAAATTACTGCCATTGCACGGGGTGTATCCACCGCACCCTCCAACCAAATACATGGCCTCCCACGACAAACAGCTCGCAATAAACGTTTATTATTCATTTTTACTCTCCCACTCGAGTCACACGAAATTGAAAGAAATTCCCGCACAATATTATAAAATATCAGCGAATGTAAACAATATAAACGAGTCCAATCCGCAGACGCTTTCACATAATATCAACTTGTTAAATCCCATTTTATTAAACATTAACAAATACTTTTTTTTATTGATATAACCACTTATATTATTAATAAATGGCACATTTTAGTAATTTTCTCAGAAACTGTAGTAGATGGAATATTTCCAGGAGATTAATATGAAAGTTTAATATTGGACGAATGTAAGGAATGGTTTTGTGTTACTATGGCTGTAATTTACGATGAAATATTGAAAAAATGAAAGTAGTGTTTTCATATTTTGATGATTTTACCAGAAACTGTTATAGATTGAATGGATCCAAAAGATGCATATTAAAGATGAATATCTGGGGGAATGTAAAACCTTAAAATCTTCTATAATATTAGATAAAACTATAACAAAATAAAATACAAATGAACGAATAACAGAGTAATTTATCTAAATGACTATAAAATATTATTTTATTTCTTCTCAGAAAATATGATTTGAAAAAGGAATGTCTATAGTTCTATTGCTCAAACAAGTCCTTGTTTTGGATAGAAAATTTGTAGAAATAGACAATTTTCTCTCACTTGCTACATGCACACAAACGTTGCATAAATTACAAGTAGCAGACGTTTTCTTTCATGGATATACGTTTACCATGAAGTTCCTAATTTCGAAAATTTAAGCTTATTTGCAAATATATCTTTACCAGATGTATATTTGTATTCTACGACGATTATTTTATTATATTTCTTCTTTAGCATCAGCAAACAAAAAATATATTTTTTTATGTCGTATAATTTTATTCAAAATCTGTTCATCTATGTGAACATTGCGTAAATTTAAGATCGCGGTTGACATTAATTGGATAATCTTTCCTGGTGGATAGTTACCATTATGATGATTTGAACATTAATAATTACTTAAATCTATACACTAAATCTAGTGTTTTACAAAGCTTCAGCCTATTTGTGGTTTCACTGTTGTCGAGTAGGCCAATAGCCAGAACATTAGTATGTGACTCCAGTCTATATTGGTATCTACTACTAAATATTGCTATTGTATCCTCGACCATATCTATATGAAGATCATCGTGTATTTGTTTATTCCTAACGAACCATGGAGTCCTAATAATATTTCTTAGGCATTTTGATTGGAACATTTGTATAATTTGTACGTACGATTTACTAGCCGCATCCCACAATTGGATACCATACTGGTTTCAGTATTACTTTGTATATAAGTAATTTATTTTCCACTGATAATTCCGACCTTTTCCCTAGAAGCCAGTAGAGTTTTCTAAACTTTATTTCTAATTGCTCACTCTTAGCCTGAATGTGATCTTTACAGGTGAGTCTTCTGTCTAGATGCATGCCTAGATATTTGACTTTTGTTGCTTTGGGCAGATCTTGTCCATTAAGTCTTACAGTGGGGCAGGTTTCTTTCTTTAGTATGGATTTCATTTTGTTAACTGCTATTCTCCATTTACAAAAAATATATACGTCCAAGAGCTGTTATATCAGACAGCTCGTCATTATTGATATGCTGATTCCCGATTTCCAAAACCGGGTTTGGTCTAGTACCATCTGTTTGGTTGTAATGGACGTTCAACTATGAAATAACAAAAAAATAATGCTCACATTTTGATGATATCCTCAAAATTGAATTGTGCATGGGGCCAAGTGCTAGAGCTGCCAATGTTTGTGAATGTAATTTTGTTAATGAGAATTGGAAATGATATTTACCGCAGTAATAGATGTTCTATTTGCCGTTTGGAATTGGTTCGAATGCCGGTAATAATGCTTCTAATTCAATCGACGATTTTGCTTCCTGCAGCCCCCGCACAGTGATCAGAAATTGGTCAATTTATTGAAATGCATGCACTGTTAGAGAAAGTTTTCATGTTGATAATAAATGTAAAGATTTCGGTAATCAAAATTATGAAATCGACGAATGCTTCGCAGATTTTTCTTCGAAGGAGAAGTCGCGCCTTTAAAAATGAAAATGCGAAATCGATAAAGCGCGACGCCTAGGCAATTACACAGGGAGGAAAAGCAAAGGAAACTGGGTTATTAAAGTGGCGTCGATTGTCGGTGTGCATTGTCAGGGACGTTGCAGCAAAGCTCATTACCACTCGAATCCTTCTTTCGCGTCTCGTCCTCCCGAAGGAGACGGAAGGACGTGAGAAATTAAATATGCTATATGCCGTTGTGGTCTCTTGCAGCGGTCGTCCTGGGACGCAAAAGATCCTGGACGAGTGCATTTCGGAAAGACGTAAAACGCCAAGGTCACAGGTATCAAATACACGCGAGCCGAAAATACACACATACACCATCCGAGCTCCGAATCGATACCTCCTCGGCTCTCCGTTTATACATAAAATATAGTTTTTCCCTATTATATATCCGTGTGTCCTGTCACTGCCTTTTATTACCGCTTTATTTCGTTTAATATTATTTTTCATCATCGTCCGAAAATGTTACCATCCCATCGATCCGCCTACATTTCTAGGATTGAAATAGAGGTCGCATTTGAATATTTTTGTAAAAATCGAAGCATCTCCATTAAATACAACCGGATTCTTCTCGACCCTTTATTCATATCCGAATCATACACTTTTCCAGTTGGTCTTTTCTTTCCATATCCACTCGTCCTGCTGCAAAAACCCGACGGGTTTAAATAACACAATTAAATTGCACACACAAACTATTTCATAAAAGCCCAATGCTATTTAGGTCAAATTTAATCAAGAACACACTCAAACGTACATGCATTTTCCTCTATTGTTTCGTTCGATCAATTCCGAGCCACTTCGACCTCGTCTGAATACACCTCTTGTTCAACTCTGCTTCTGCAACTCTTTTTTTTTCTCTCTCTTCTTCTATTATTCCTGCTTCCCTCAGTTCTCTCACGTACCATTTTCTGCTATCTAATTTTACGCTTAGCTTCATGTTAAACTTATATTGGAGACCTCAAACTCAATAATATACACGAACATTTTAACAAAATTACATCATTTTTTTCATCAGATTTTTTCTTTAAATTCTAATACAAATTTGAAAATCGATAATTGTTATATAAAAGCAAATATGAATTTACAAATCTCTTAATATGATATAGGATTTTACGTATTTTGAAATCTCCATTGTTTCTATACAATAGCCGCAATTTAACTAATCGCAATTTTCCATTCTTTGCATATTTACTCTCCTGTTCATACTAATTCCACGCCTCGTAAATTAATTATGCGTCTAGTAATTAGTTTCCATAATACCCCGTGGTTTCACCTTTGGGAACGGCATTTTCTTCATAAATTCACGATTCAAATCATTTCAATGAAAATGTTCTTCATTTATCTTTGATTTATGATATTAATATAAACACATTTTTCCATTTTTTAAATTATCAAATGAAAATCGTATACATTTAATTAAATGTTAATTATTGTTAAAATTTTAAATTAATTAAAAAAAGACGATTTAAGTGAATATATTTTTATTTGAAGTGTTTACAACATTTGTTTGAAGAAATTAAATTTTGAATAAACCGTTTCCTTTCCATCATTTATGATTGATGTTAATTAACGTAATTAAAGCTCAGGTCAAAATCGTTTGGATATATTCGAAAATCGGCAGCAATTAAATGAACGCCGTTTTTAATGGAGTGCTGTCAATTTGGTCGACTGCAGCGACGAGTAAATAAGTAATACTTCACGGAATCATTTATTGCTGCGAAACGATCCGGCTAATAATAGTGAAAATGTACGTAAATTCATTCAAAGTCAATAGAATTATTAAGCGTTGATTGCTAATATTGATGAATCCGTTGGGAGATGTGAATGCTTATTGGTATTTAAGGCTGAAAGAAATAATATTGTTTTTTGTTTCCTTTAGTTTTGGATCGATAAATAATTAATAAAGGTCTAAGGCTGTGTGCTTCGAGGTGGCGGAGAGGGGATGCAGCGTCCTTGACCCGCTTCGATCCTTGGCGCCAGGACAACTCGGGGAGCGAGAGGAGGAGGAGGCACACGAACCGGAAATGAAGGCGGGCCTTTCCTGCCATCGCCCAACCGCACTTGTTTTCTTTAATTTCCTCCTCTGTTCGCACTCTTTACATAGCAACCAAAGACGCGGTGAAGAAAAAAATAAGGGTTGAAAAAAAAAATAAGGGTTGAAAAAAAAACGAAGGGTAGAGAAAAAAAAACAAGCATAAAAATACTAAAACAAGAAGGGCGAAAAACAGGATATTAATTAGGGTTTTAAACGAACGTGTTTAGCAGAGTGTAGAACGAGAAGGAAAGGTGAACTGTCTGAAATGAAATATTATTGGATTTACGTCTGGTACAGTTACTTTTTTTTTTTGTTATTACCGCTATGAAGTTGGCGTAGCTGAGCTGCATGCGACCGGACACCGTTAAGCTGACCGGTTTTTGAGCCCTCTGGATCATCAGCATCAATCCCTTCCGGAAATCAATGTCCTGTGACAGATGCCAGTCGCAGTAGTAGGCCGCGTCAGCGATTTGCCCGCTCTGCATTGCAATTTGAAATACAAAAAAAAAAATTGTAACGAGAACAAAAAAATTAGATAGATTTATGGCTTTGCGGTTTCATCACCTGATACGTAAGCTCGTTACCCACGGAGCAGTAAATGAAAAATTGGAAAACGTGCGCAATCAAGTAGGAAAGCATGTGTTGCCATAGAGATGGATCGGCGATCTGCAATTATTACCATGCACTCTTTTCATCTCTCATCAATATTTTATGTACACTGACCAGAGCAACGCAGGAAACGCACATCGCCAAAGTGCTGACTACAAACTGAAGGAAAACTATGTGGGAGAAGATCTTTTCCAGCAAGGCGCATATCCTGAAAGCGTTCACGTTTCAGACGGGAGGCCAATTTAAAGAAAGCGAATTAATTACTCCAATAAAAGCAAATGGTGCTCGACGCACGTGATCAAATTAACCATTTCGGAGTCGCGTCTGCCCATCTGCGCGATTCCGGCTCGCTGCTTCCATCCTCTCTCGCAGCAGAGGTTCTCCAAGACGTCCTGAAGGATTTGGAATTGGGTCGAGCAGATCATCACCAGGGAGTTGAAGAAGGCGTCGAAGCCGCTCAGAGTGGATATTACCACTTGGTTCATGAACCATTGCCATATGTACATGAGCTGGTATTGTGGTGTTGATTTGAAGTTGAAAGGGTACCAAGAGGCTAAAGGTAATTGATCCGTGTTTGCTACTATTGGGAATGCCATGAATTGAGCATTGGAGAAGAATGCCATCACCAGAAAAGTAACTCCTACTGTGATAACGTAGCGACTGCGATTCTGGATTTGTTTTTGACGATATTTCGATGCTACTTTAGAAGGCCAAAAATCCAACCAAATACTTGTCAAAATCGCATTCAGAGGCTTCTTATACATCATCATAGTCATCAACTTAGCTATAGTCTAAAACAAATAGAGTTACCAATACTATCTTAGTAAAAAAGTATCAATCTTTTCAATGCAATTTTATATCAAATTTGTTAGCAAAGAAGCTTGACTATTATTTTAGCAGAAATAGCAGAATTTTGATAAGTACAAGAATTTTTAATTAATATTTGATTTTGAATAAACTGTGTAGTAAATTATTATTTCTCAAAGCTGTTTCCAACTAAAAGATAAACTAAATTCCTCTTTATGCTTTTCGCAAATGCGTAAAGTTTTGTAAGCGTTTCATTTGTAACGACTTTTGTGCCCGAAATTGAGCATGACTTTAGTCGACAGTTATTAGTGGGCGGCAGACGCGAATCATAAACGACGAAGAGAAAGTTTTCAATTAATAAACCGTTGGGATCGCAACAAGCACAGAGAACCAAACTGTAATTAATTGCGACTTGACTAATGGATTCTGCGGGCGTTTAATTAGTGATTCGAGTTTAATTACTTCGATGACGACGACGACTGTCGTACAAGCGGACGTCATCTTCGATATGTCGGTGACGTTGATGGCTAGGTATGCGATGTGTGCGAAGCACATCAAATTCAAGCTCACAATCACTACGACCATTAACCATCTCTTAATCATATCATCATTATCCGGCCAAACGTTCAATGATTGCAGCACCAACTTTGGGAACAGTACGCACTTCTTCGAAATGTCTTTTCTGCAGTGAACAACGAACTCTGAAACATTTAAAAGTTATTTATGTTTGTGTGATTTCGAGTATTACCTTTGGAGAGTTTTTGCAGCTTTCTCTGCGTCCCACCGAGCTCCATGACGAGTGGTCTTCGAGTAATCGGGCTTACGTGATTCAAAACCAAAACTTTGGTGGATATGAGTAATTATGCGACCAGAGTTGTGGAAACAAATAATTTGCGGAGCTCAATTATTCAAAGAGTAATTGCTGGGCGAGCGTAGCAATGCTGCTTTATTAATTTACGGAAACTAATTTCCTGTTGCCCACTCATCCCTTATTTTAAAATAAGTTCAGAGAAGAAGTAGTTAAAAAAAGAGTGGCATTCTTTATGTGCATCCAATTAGTAAAACTAGCTGTACGTGCAAACAAAAGGGTAAAGCTACGTGACCTTCGAAGGGTCTCCTTTCTTCGTCTGCAAGTTAATTAATATATCGTTGATTCAAAGCCGCTAATGAAAAGGCCGCAGGGTTGTATATACCTATTTCACTACCGGCGAAACAAACTTTCCTGAATGCATACAATACGCATACTCGGATTTCCAAAGCTTTATATACATTTGTATACTTTCTCAAAAACCGAATGCATAGGATCTTTGATACCGCCACATCAAACGCGCTATAATCTTAATCCACAGTTGGCACGCAATGCGTCTGCACTTAACGCTATGCCTTTACCATTGTTCCACTTTGTATACCGAGTCTTTGTCTTATCTACAACTAATTATGTTATTTACGTAACTAACAAAGTATAAACTACTAATGTTTATATTAATAAAAGAAAACATGAATACATTGAAAAATTGTTGTTTCTCTATTATGTAATTAACATAACGTAGCTTTATTTATATAGAAAATCATAATTTTATACTATTTGCTGTAAAATTTTCATTTTTTCATTATAATCCCGAAAATTACATAACGTAAAGAAGATAGAAGCATTTATATTTGACTTCTTCCCCTAGAAAGTGGAAGGCATTTTTTAGCAGTTTTCATTTGCACATAGTGGAAACCTTAACTGTTGAATGTTAACAAAAGCATTACTTCTTTAAGGAGATGTGTAACAACTATGGATTAGGACATCACCCTGGATAACACGATTAAGCAGTTAAAATATTGGAAAATCAAACAGGTAAATTTTCACGGAAACCCCAGAAAATATTGTAAAAGATTTTCTTAAATTTTCGTAGTTTGTAGCATTGTTGTACTGTAATCAAGTAATAAAATAGTAATGCGCCTTCATAATTTCGTATCTGAATAAATTAAAATGATAATTGCCGTATGCCCGGCGCAAGGAGTAATCCTGCAGGGTTTGTGCTCTTTGCGTAAGCTTCCAGGGTAAACGCGGAGAGAAGAGAAGGATGGGATGAGGGTATTCATAAAGGAGTGGGAGAGAAATGCGGAAATGTAAGCGGGAAAACAAATATTAACCGTGTTGTAAAACGTAATGAAACCGTAATCCCTGTGTAACGTTACGCACATAACACGCATTCTAAATCGATGATTAGTTACGCAGCATGGGCGGACGGAAAGAAGGGGAATCCCCGGGAAGGGAAAGGAAGGAAGGAGGGTCTCTGTATGTGTGTGTGTGATTACAGAAGGGTCCCAGAGCACCAGGACTAGTTAAGACGTAGGAGGGGTCCCATCATATCTGGGCACTTACAATGTAGTTAACTGGGTACGCGTTCAAATATGCATTTTCGTGGGCCCTTCAAACGGGCGCTCGATAACTTAACAAGTCGTTTATTATTGCATGTCTGGGCAATCACACTGGGATGGACCACCAACTATTACATCCATGAGTCGAGCAACTTTTAAATGGGCTGTTAAAATGTTCACGTAGTCTTGAAATACCATAGGATTGTTGAATATTCAAACTAAAACTTTCCATGTTGTAGTATAAAATTTATTATTTCCATAAAAATTTCCTGAAAATTCTTGTGAAATAACACAATAAATTAAAAATTACAGATTTTAAAGTAATAGAAAAATCAGTGCGCTGTGGATGGATGTCCTAGAGATTTTCTGGTGTGTATTAGGTGAGAGCGCGTGGTGAGATGATCAAAGATAATTCAGGGATGAAAAAGAAGAAAAAAAGGATAGGCTAGGATGTATTTAAACGAAGTGCCATGCATACTGATGCGCGCGATATTATCATGCCCGAGAGCTAGAACACTTATCCTCATCCTTATCCTCCTCATCCCATCTCGCTTTTCGACGGCGCTCATCTTCGACGCCTAGTTTTCTATAAAACGTCATCCCTCCTCGCTATTTATTTACTGCGCTCCTGCATAAGTCGATTCCCTTAACCCAAAGTCCTTCTGACAGTGTGTCTGTCGGGAAGAGTTCGGATGGCCAGGTAAGGCAGCAGGAGAAGCACCTATTGATTTTCCGTCTGGAGAGTCGTAGTAGTAGTAGTAGGTAGGTAGGCCTGACTTGTTCCCAGGTATCTCTGTTCGTCTCTCTTTTCCGCTCGATGCGTGGACTGTCGCGTAGCCTCTTCCACCTCATCCTCCTTCAGCTCCGACTCCGCTGTTGTCGGGGCTTCTTGCACTTAAAAATATTCCGCACACGAATGCGTCGTCCAACTCGGATGCGAGCGTAGATAGAGAGATGATGTGGAAATGGGAGAGAAAGAGAAACGAAGAATTCTCCACAGCCGTCGTGTTAAAATATTGTCACGCGCCGTCACGCCATGCCAAAAGTCCGCCTGTCACTCCGAATATTAAAATATATATATTTTATACAATGCCCCAAATATTCTCTTTGTGGAAAGTTTCTCGGATGCAACGCGACGCGAATCCGCAAAAAAAATATAGCCAACTCCACCACCCTGACACATATACGTATTACGTTATTTTGTCATATTTCTACACGCTTCTTCGTCTCCTCATGTCTCACCCAACAAATTAATAACGACATTGACATTGTCACTGTTTGCTTAACTCAAAGGGGGAAGTAATAAAACTACAACATGATTTCATCTGAACTGAACGAAAAAAAAAATGTTATTTTGACAAACCCTAACTATCAAAGAGTACTTAACAATCGTAGCAACTAAGGCTATATCTAATAACTGAGACAAGTAGAACAAAATCCGTTACGAAAGTTGTGAGTTCGAAAATTCACTTAAATTATACTTATATAAAGCAATTTTATCTCATCTATTGGTTAAGGGCCTTATTTGTCTATAGTCAAAAATCAATTCAAAAACGTCTTTATCAAAGACGTAATAACAAGACATAAATCCATGGTAACTAAAACATTTCTCTAACAACTACTCTTAGTAACCGGAAATAATTGGTATAGCGCTTTCGGCAACTAAATATTACACCTAATAAGTAACTTCATAACCAACATAGTTACTAGCTTTGTTAATGAGGTAATTAAGTTAGCGTATGTAGTTGTACTTAATCAACTAATGTCAATTAATATATTTTAAAATTGTTCTTAACACTAAGCAATAGATTTACACATTAATTACGTAATTATCATGGTTCTTTATCGCAAGCCCGACAATCGAAAGACCGTCTATTGAAATTCCGACGTTCGAAATCCCGACTGTATTAAAGTCCCAACGCTTGAAATCCCTATTATGTCAAAATCCCGACTACCATAATCCCGACGTTCGAAATCCCGACTGTATTAAAGTCCAGACGCTTGAAATCCCGATTATGTCAAAATCCCGACTGTATTAAAGTCTCGACGCTTGAAATCCCGATTATGTCAAAATCCCGACTGGCTCAAAATCCCGACTATATCGAAATCCCGAAAATATCGAAATCTTGACTACCATATAAAAGTTATTGTAGAAATTTATAATAATAAAAGACACTGTCGGGATTTCGATATAGTCGGGATTTTAATTGTCGAGATTATGGTAGTCAGGATGTCGATAAAGTCGGAATTTCGAACGTCGGGATTTCAGTTGTCGGGCTTGCGATTGCCACCGAATTATCATAATATGATTATGTGGTTATCTTACATATTATGTAAGATAACCACATAACTTACATATTATAAAATAATATTTTCTAAAAATAAATCAATACATTTTAAAAAGGAGCGCCATCTCTTACAGCAAAAAAGTACTAGAAATACGAAACTAATATATGCATTTTTTTGTTGTTGTCTCCTGTCTCTGGAATTTGGAATAAATTATTTTTATCTTTCCGTCTAGCCGGATTTTGTGTGTGTGTATTTTTTTACGTTTTTATTACTACTTTTCATTCATAGTTTCATTGTTCCCATTCAACTTTTTGTGCGTAATTCCGAGAAACGCACCGTCTGCATTTATTTACTGCATTCCTTTAGGCGCCACGAAAATACTATTTTTCTTAGTTTATTCTTCTATTCAATGCATTCCTTCACTTCACACTGGTTGCATAACTTATATTTTATTATTGGGTCTATATCGCAAACCCGACAACCGAAAACCCGAAGTTCTAAATCCCGACTATATCAAAATCTCAACAACCATAATCCCGACTGTATCAGAATCTCGACAACCATAATCCCGACTGTATCAGAATCTCGACAACCATAATCCCGACTATATCAGAATCTTTAGACGGTTTTTCTGTTGTCGGGCTTCCGATTGCCACCCATTATTATTATTTCAAATTTTATATGAAAATGTAATCTAATTTAATTGAAATTTTTAAATTACAAATATAAAAATCAACAAATCAACATCAAAACAAATTGAAGCAATTCATAGAAAACATAAAAATGAGAAACACAAAATTTCGTTTATTAAGAAAACAAATCGCGTTCGAATCACTCGTTTCATAAACAATATCGCAAAACAATTGAACTGTATCGGTTTTTATGTGAAAATAAACAAAACTTCTTCAAGTAGAAGGAGAGAGAAAAAAAGAAGAAAGAAACGGAATTGCTTTGTATTTTACTACCAACCATATTTTTCTGTTCTCTCTTAAGTCTGCTAAACGTACCTCCGGGACGCATTACCATCCTACATTTTAAAAACTCTCAATTGCCGAGCAATAAAAATCCCTATTATATAATGTTAAAGACTTCACTTCGCAAGAGGTATGCATTATCTTTCGGAGACGAGAGCGAA